CGTCCAATGAGTTCTGAAGCATTTGACTGAATATGAGCAGATAATATTGCCCGAAACACTTCAGAATTCATCCGGCTGCTTTTGTCAGCAGTCACATCATCAATAAGTACAAGAGAACCAGTTCCATTGGCAGCCATACATGCCCACGCCGTGACACTACCACCACCATGCTTCACTGATGAGGTGGTATGCTTAGGATCATGAGCAGTTCCTTTCCTTCTCCATACTCTTCTCTTCCCATCACTCTGGTACAAGTTGATCTTGGTCTCATCTGTCCATAGGATGTTGTTCCAGAACTGTGAAGGCTTTTTTAGATGTCGTTTGGCAAACTCTAATCTGGCCTTCCTGTTTTTGAGGCTCACCAATGGTTTCCATCTTGTGGTGAACCCTCTGTATTCACTCTGGTGAAGTCTTCTCTTGATTGTTGACTTTGACACACATACACCTACCTCCTGGAGAGTGTTCTTGATCTGGCCAACTGTTGTGAAGGGTGTTTTCTTCACCAGGAAAAGAATTCTTCGGTCATCCACCACAGTTGTTTTCTGTGGTCTTCCGGGTCTTTTGGTGTTGCTGAGCTCACCGGTGCGTTTCTTCTTTTTAAGAATGTTCCAAACAGTTGTTTTGGCCACGCCTAATGTTGTTGCTATCTCTCTGATGGGTGTGTTTTGTTTTTTCAGCCTAATGATGGCTTGCTTCACTGATAGTGACAGCTCTTTGGATCTCATCTTGAGAGTTGACAGCAACAGATTCCAAATGCAAATAGCACACTTGAAATGAACTCTGGACCTTTTATCTGCTCATTGTAATTGGGATAATGAGGGAATAAACACACACCTGGCCATGGAACAGCTGAGAAGCCAATTGTCCCATTACTTTTGGTCCCATAAAAAGTGGGAGGCACATATGCAAACTGTTGTAATTCCTACACCGATCACCTGATTTGGATGTAAATACCCTTAAATTAAAGCTGACAGTCTGCAGTTAAAGCACATCTTGTTTCTTTCATTTCAAATCCATTGTGGTGGTGTATAGAGCCAAAAATGTTAGAATTATGTTGATGTCCCAATATTTATGGACCTGACTGTATATTTCTAAAACGGTGCTACCCATGCAATCCATATATACAAAAAAAAAAAAGTTCAAAAATTTAGTTATGTGTAATAAAATGGAATGACACAGTGAAAACGTATTGAAAACGCTAACTGAAAATGTATTACTTTATACAAAATTCTTTGTTGGTAATGACAACTTCAAAACACCTCCTGTATGGAAAAACTAGTCACATACATTGCACAGGTGTGATTTTGGCCAAAAATCTTGAAGGTTCTGTGGGCCTCTTCTATGAACTCCGACCTTTAGTTCTTTCCATAGATTTATTGGATTCAAGTCAGGTGATTGGCTGGGCCATTCTAGCAGCATTATTTTCGCTTTGAAACCAACTGAAAGTTTCTTTGGCTTTGTGTTTGGGATCATTATCTTGCTGAAATGTCTACCCTCATTCCATCTTCATCATCCTGATAGATGGCAAATTTTTATCAAGAACGTCTTGGTACATTTTTCCATTCATCCTTCAATATGAAGTTTGCCAGTACCGTATAATGAATAACAGCCCCACACCATGATGTTCCCACCTCCAAACTTCTCTGTCAGTATGGTGTTTTGTACAGTAGCATTTGACCTCCAAACATGGAGTGTATTATGGCATCGAAAGAGTTCAACTTTGTTCTCATCTGACCAGACTATATTCTCCTAGTATTTCACAGGCTTGTCTAAATGTTGTGCAGCAAACAATGAACGAGCTGCAAAATGCTTTTTCTTCAGCAATGGAGTCTTGTGTGGTGAGCGTGCATACAGGCCATGGCAGTTGAGTCCATTACTTTAACCACCTCCCGTCCGGCCGTTGTATATAAAAATGGGCCGGACGATGGCAGTGCAGGGGCGGGTGCGAATTTATAAACTGCCTCCCCGCCCCCTGCTTGTGCGCGCTCCCTGGGAGCGTGCAGCACCGCGATCCAGTGCCCGCTGTGTCCTCCGGGCACAGTGGAACACCGATCGTCGGACGGGATCTCTGTATGAGAGAGAGAAGGAGAAATGATTGCTTTTACATCCTTTATGGGTGACACTGTACTGCTACGGTAACAGTATGTAAAAAAAAAAAAAAAAAAAAAGTTTAAAAAAAATCATAATTTTGGTTATAAACTAATTTGGGTTATTTTTTTTTTTTACTAAAAATATAACAGAATAAATTTTGGCCAAGATTCATGATGAAATACTATTTGCAAAATTTTATAAGAAAAAACACTTTCAAAGGTTCACCCAGTGGTGAATAAATACCACCAAATAAAGCTTTATTTGTCTCAAAAAAATTCATATGGGTACAGTGTTGCATGACCGCGCAATTGTCAAAGTGTGATAGCACTGCAAGCTGAAAATTGGCCTGGACAGGAAGGGGGTAAAAGTGTCCAGACTGGAAGTGGTTAACAACTGTACCTGCTAATTCAAGGTCTTTCTAAAGCTCTGCACAAGCGGTACTTGGCTCTTGTACAACTTCTGATAAGTCCTCTATCAGAAATCTTCTTGCCACTGTCGGATTAGAAATCCTTCTGTAACCAATGCCATCAGTTTGTTTTGCAACAATAAGGTTGCAAAGGGCTTGAGAGAGTTCTTTGCTTTTAAGCATGAGAGGTTTCTTGTTTGACACATTGTTAATGAGACACCTTTTTTATATGCCATCAATTGAGACAACCAGCCATTATTATTATTATACAGGATTCATATAGCGCCAACAGTTTGCGCAGCACTTTACAAAATGAAGGTAGACATTACAGTTACAATACAATTTGGTACACTGACAAGGGACAGGATTGCTTTCTAACTACTGAAATTTCAGTTGGTGTTGTGGCTTTCCATGACTTATTGTCACTTCCTTTCTTCATGTTTAACACTTTTTCTGTGTCATTCCATTTTATTACACACAACTTAATTTCTGAACTTGTTTGTTTTGGTTTCTTTGTATGTATGCATTGCATGGGTTGTTACCAACGTGTAAACTTTTCATGGCAATAGCACCTATAGAAATATATTGACTGAGAAAAATGGTGACTTGTTAAATATTTATTTTATCCGCTGTATATGTAACCATCCAGAAGTACATATTTACATATTTGAAGTCCTTTTCAGGACACCTTTTGCTGCAGTATGTAGTAGTTAACCCTTTGGATGCTGATGGGTTGGCAACTACAGCACAAGGTACTTTGAGACTGTTTGTTGTGCGCTCTGCAGGTCAATTGATTTTTTATTTGTTCGTGGAGTCAAATTGACATTCATCTTCAACTGCGGTCATGGGAAAATTTGAAGGAGCATGATGGAGAATTTTTCTTGAATGATCAAACTTCTAACAGCCAATGTGGTTTTCGTTTGGTAAAATCCATTTGTTCCAAAATCAATTGTTGTTCAAAAGTACTTCACAATTTTAGGTTCAACAGCTGTCAAGCTATCAAATGTACAAAAATATGGAAATAGTGCAGCGCTTACAAACCAAAATACAATAAATGATATATCACGTAAACCCGAATATGAGTCCTAATGAATAGACAGATAAAAGGAAATATTAATAAAAGTCATTAACTTGATGATGAAATTCATATAGGTGATAAACTCTGGGGGTGAGAAGACAACCAGAAATTGTGAAAAACCCGTCCGGTGGTGTGCAGAAGATTAGCAGAATTGCAAACTCACCAGAAATAGATTAAAATGCGCATTGAATGGTGTTTCCGGCTTGGGGGACTTCCATCTAAAGAGCCCTGGTCTGGTCAGGAATTTAACCACTTCTTCCAGTTAAAACAAGGATCCTCTCCAAGATGTTAAAAATTGGTCTGGTCATAGAAAATGTTCCATCCTCCAAATTGGATGAAACCTGGATCCTGAGGGTTAAGTGCTCATGACAGAGCCAAGAAAAGGGAGGGGTCTCATAGTGTAGTATGGTATAGAATTGTTTTAATGAGATTAAAATTGAAAGTATAAAAATGAACACATACATGTAGAGCAACTGATGATATACAGGTGTGATATTGACATACATCAAGTGCAAAGAAAACCTGTGCCGGCAATGTTACTGACCAGTACTAAAGTTGTAATGGCCGCTGGACCTCCGTGATCCAGCGGCTTGGCGTCTCTGGGTGGTAGGGCTCCTCCTTAACGCGTTTCAGATACAAATATATCGTCAAATGTACTGAGATTTTTATTTGAAAATATATTATTAGTGTAAGGCCAGCTTTAGAGACAACCTTTTATTAGACAGGAAGTGGAAGGAACTCTCTGGCAACAACACAGACCAAAATAATAATGTTTATAGGAGGAATAGGTGGAAAGGACAGAACTACCTTTAGATGTTTTCATTCCTGTGACCCTGTTGCAGATTTTCCCTCCAGTTAGCCACACACACACAATGTGATTGTACAACCTCTGTATGATCGACTTCAGATCTACCAAAACCATGCAATATGAGGACACAGCTATACTAAGCACTGCAGATCGCACAGAGCCAGGTCATAGACTGTACAGCGTATGGTCAGATTGTAGGAGGTGTTAGACATTACAGAGCCCCAGAATCACAGGAGTTTCAATTTTTTTCCACTCACAAAAAAAAAAAATAGTTTGACATTTTAAATCCAGTGTTAGGGCATCCACTGCGCAGATGGCGACGTGCAGTCTATAGAGAACAATGCACCCCGGTGTGCTCCCTCACACAGGATGAGAGCTATTGACAGATAATGGCCTCCTCCCCTGCGCTCCCAGCTGTTGTTGCCACCATACGTCTCCGCAGTCTTTTCATGGCTGACCCGGCACAGCCGCCATCTCCCGGTAACCATAATGGCCGCTATCACTCCGCACACACTCACGGCCGCACTCCGCTTTCCCCAACACACTAACCCACACTCAGCCCAGAACAAGCATGCCTCGGACACAAAAGACATTTCCCAATAACCCCTTCTCCTCACCCGCCTCGGTCCCGGTCCATGAAGCTTCCCCTCATCGTGAAGTCGCGCAACACACAATTACTTCAGACAGTGATGGTAAAGAATTGGTCACTATTGCGGCAGATGGTCCTGGCGCCTTTCCACGTTCGGAATTGAAGGTGTTAAGGAAGAAGACGTGAAATCCACAACAACTGATGTCGTCCAGGGAAGCGCCAGCACAAAATGGCCGCCGTCTTCTTCCCTTGTCCTCCGTCAATTGCCTGAAATGGCGCGCAACGCTATTGGCGTAGCGTAAAGGCCGCTCTGCTACGTGACTGCGCCGGCCAGGAAATTCGTAAATACGGCGGAGAATAGGAATCCGCCTCTAACTTGCGTCATCCGAAGCGCAGTATAGTCCAGAAGTGGGCGTTCCCAGGCGGCGGAGGAGAGTATTGTGGAGTGTGTTGGTGTGGTGTCCAGGCGGGAAAGGTGGACGCCGTTATGTAATCAGCATTTCCAACAATATGCTACATTCACTGAGCACCATCAATTATGAGATCTAAATAGAAAAGTCGGTTCACTAAAAATACAAGTGTTATATATAACACATATTAACCACTGCAAGTCCGGACACTTTAACCCCCTTCTTGGCCAGGCCAATTTTCAGCTTTCGGCGCTATCACACTTTGACAATTGCGCGGTCAAGCAACACTGTAGCCATATGCTTTTTTTTTTTAGCTTTTTTGAGAAAACTTTATTTTGGTAGTATTTATTTACCACTGAGATTTGTATTTTGCTATATAAATAAAGTCCAAAAATTTTCAAAAAAAGTTTTTCTTATAAAATGTTGCAAATAAATAATCTTTCTTTATAAATCTTGGCCAAAATGTATTCAGTTATCTTTTTAGTTAAAAAAATAACCCAAATTAGTTTATAACCAAAAATTATAATTAAAAAAAAAAAGTTTTACATTTTTATATATTTTTTATATTATTATTTATGTTTTTTTAACCACTTGCCCTGCAGAGGATTTACCTTAATGACCAGACCTCTTTTTGCTACTTGGCACTGCACTATTTCAACTGATAATTGCGCGGTCATGCAATGCTGTACCCAAACGAAATTTATGTCCTTTTTTCACACATATAGAGCTTTCTTTTGGTGGTATTTGATCACCTGTGTGCTTTTTATTGTTCACGCTATAAACAAAAAAAGACTGCAAATTTTGAAGAAAAATTATATTTTTTTCTTTCGGCTATAGAAAATATGTAGTAAACTCAAAGTTAGTTATAAATTTAGGCCAAAATGTATTCTGCTACATATTTTTGGTTAAAAAATCCCAATAAGTGTATATTGATTACCTTGCGTGAAAGGTATAGCATCTACAAACTATGGTACAGATAATGGAATTTACACAGCTTTTACTTTCTGACTGCCCATCACATTTCTTGAGGTGCTAAAATACCAGGACAGTACAAACACCCCCAAATGACCCCTTTTTGGAAAGTAGATACCCTAAGCTATCTGCTGACAGGCATATTGAGTCCATGGAAGATTTATTTTTGTTTGACAAGTTTTTGGAAAATGACAGAAACAATTGAGTACTGTCCGTGATACTTTTTTTATTTGCACTAACATACAATTTTGAGGACAAGCTTTCGGGGTATGTCCCCTTCTTCAAAGTGCTTGGACTTTGAAGAAGGGGACATACCCCAAAAGCTTGTCCTCAAAATTGTATGTTAGTGCAAATAAAAAAAGTATCACGGACAGTACTTAATTGTTTCTGTCGCAAATGCACTAATATGGCTACAATTACCTCAAACAAAATGGAAAATGCAAAAACTTTTTTTTTTTTTTTACACAAAGTTGTCGTTGAAATGATATATTTCTCGCACAAGCCATGGGTATATGTGGAATTATACAGCAAAATACATTCTGCTATTTCCTTCCGAGTATGGGGATACCACATGTGTGAGACTTTTTGGGAGCCTAGCCACTTAACTTCCTCATTTCACTTCCTCACTGCCTATCACAGTTTCAAAGGCCATGAAATGCCAGGATAGCACCAAACCCCCCAAAATGACCCCTTTTTGGAAAGTAGACACCCAAAGGAATTTAAAAAGAGGCATGGTGAGTATTTTGCAGATCTCATTTTTTCCCACAAGGTTTTGAAATATAAAAAAAAAAAGAAAAAATAGGTTTTTTGTTTTTTTTCTTCATTTTCCAAAAACTTGTGGCAACAAATGAGATCTGCAAAATACTTACCGTGCTTTTTATCAAATTTGTTGGGGCATCTACTTTCCAAAAAGGGGTCATTTGGGGGGGGTTAGGTGCTATCCTGGCATTTTATGGCCTTCGAAACTGTGATAGGTAGTCTGGAAGTGTAATAAGGAAATAAAGCCCTTTAAAAGCCTGAAGGTGCTTATTGGATTTTGGGGTCCTGTACTTGGCTAGACTGCCAAAAAGTCTCTCACATGTGGTACCCCCATACTTGGGAGAAGTAGCAAAATGTATTTTGGGGAGTAATTCCACATTTAACCATGGCATGTGTGAGCAGTAAATCATTTAAGTGACAATTTTGTGTAAAAAAAAAAAAAAAAATACTTGTTTTTGTCATTTTCCAAAAACTTGTGGTAAAAAAATAAATTCTTCTATTGATTCAACATTCCTCTCAGCAAATAGTTTGGGGTGACTACTTTCCAAAAAGGGGTCATTTTGGGGGGGTGGGGACGTTTTATGCCGAGCATTAGAAGTTTAGGCCACACATCATTCACTCTTCTAACCACCTGAAGACCAAGCACTTCAGTATTTTTTGCTAGGAAATTAATTTAAACCCCCAAACATTATATATTTTTTTAAAGCAGACACCCTAGTGAATAAAATGGTGGGTACTACAATTTTGTATGGCACATAGTACTCGCGCAGCGATTTTTCAAAAGCAATTTAAAAAAAAAATACACTTTTTTTACTTTTAATGCACAAAAACACAATATATTGGCCAATTGTTTGGTAAAATATAAAAGATAATGGTATGCCGAGTAAATAGATACCAAACATGACATGCTTTTAAAACTGCGCATGCCCTGTTCAATGGCGACAAACTGCAAACATTTTTAATATCCATAGGCAGCGCTTTAAAAGCCACCATTTTAGATTTACAGAGGAGGTCTAGTGTTAGAATTACTGCCCTTGATCTGACGTTCACGGCAATACCTCACATGCATGGTGCAACCGCTGTTTACATAACGGCACAGGGTCAAGGCTTGTGCACACAGGTGTGCGCGCATGGGAGGGGCAATTTTTTTTTTTTTTTTTTTTTTTTTTAGTTATTTTTTTTTTTTTAATTATTTTTACATTGTACCTTTCATTTTTTTTTTTATCACTTTTAATGCTATAACAGGGAATGCAAATAACCCCTATAACTTCAATGGGCATTGTCATATATTCTTTTTTGAGAAATCTGGGGTCTATCAGACTCTAGATATCTCCTCTGCCCTTACATTATCTAATCAAACCAAAATCGGTGTGATCAGATGCTTTCCCAATTTACAAATGGCGCTGTTTATATCCTGCGAAACTGAAGTGATGAAATGCTTGTAGCTTCCGAATTCTTAGATTATAGAGATGATTGGCACCATTCTGGTCTCCAATCAGCTCTATGGTCAGCTGGCAGAAACAGCGGCTGCATTCTCAGGTTCCCCTGATGGCACGGGACTGCCTGAGAAGGCCGTGGAAGGCAGCGGGGGAGGGGGGACATCATCTCCCACTGCTTGTAAAAGCAATCTTGCAGCTAATTAGCCACGAGGATTGCTTTTACATGAAAGCCGATCACCGGCTGAAAAAAAAAAGACACCAGGATGATGCCTGCAGCTGTAGGCATCATCCTGGTATAACCATTCAAATCCAGTGATGTACCAGTACATCGCTGGTCCTTGTTGGTTATATATGCTATGTTCTTTTTTTTTTTTTGTATGCAGCCAGTGGACTGAATGAAAAAATGAGAAGAAATCTCCCTGCCAGAAAAAGTGTGTGGTATGCCCACCATTAGAATATACCACCCTGCATCCACCCACTTCTAATGGTGGGCACACATTAAGTCACACTTTGCCACAAGTGCCAGTTCCAAGATTGAATAAATGTCTAAATAGTGGCAAGCTTGAATAAAAATTGTCCACGTATAAGTGGTACCCCATATGGAGAAACGATGACACCAAGTCCCAAACTATCTTGCCACTGCTCCCCATGTAGTCTGGGCATCCGGGCGGGCTCCACGCGACTATCTTTTCCCTCGTAAATCCGAAACTTATAAGTATAGCCTGTTGTCCTCTCACAGGTCTTCTACATCTTGACCCCATATCTGGCACGCTTGCAGGGGAAAAGTTGTTTGAATGCAAGGCGGCCAAAAAAATTAATAAGGGACTCATCAACGCAGATGTTTTGCTGGGGAGTATAGACATCTGCAAATTTTAGGTTAAGGTGATTTGCGAGGGGCTGAATTTTGTGGAGCCGGTCAAATTCAGGGTTACCCCGAGGATGACAGAGTGTATTGTCGCTGAAATGCATAAAACACATTATACTCTCATATCTATGCCTGGCCATGGCAGCAGAGAACACGGCATATGATGAATCGGGTCTGCGGACCAATACAACCGCAATTCATTTCTTTTAGTAATGCCCATGTTGAGGGTTAGGCCCCAAAAAAATGTAAATTTGAAAACCGTAATGAGTTTCCATGCGAATGGTCTGGCAAAGTTTGAATTTGGGTTGGCGGCAATAAATTGTTGTGCATATAAACTGCTTTGATCCACAATCAACGCATACAGATATTCCATGAAAAACAGCTCCAAAAATCAAGGAGGTATGTGAAAGACCAGGATGTACTAGACCGCTGGTACTCGACAGTTCACCAAAAGGTAGAGCGGCACTAGTACTGGCACTCTGCTGCATATGAGAGTCATCAAAATTTACCGGCAAGTGCTAACAGAGATCAGGCCTGATTCTGCGAACACTGCGGTTTTGTGTGCAATGTATCAAGTGACAGTGACCTACTGACACTGCACTTGCTGGGGGAGAAGGGGGGGTAAGCGTAGGGGCTAAACGCAGGTGTTGGCAGGTGCAGGGGCTGATCCCGCTAACGCTGCGTTTTTGGGGACGCTATACTAATGTGAACGCTGGTATAGTGCTGACCTGATCAAAGATTTTGACCCTTTCAGACACTATACTAGCAATGGAGGTTTATTGTACATGAGCGTGCTCCTGGCAATCAAGGGGTTAAATGTGATGACTGGTGTACTGACAGGCAATCTGACGCTATCTGGGAGGGGAGTGAAAACCACGGGAGCGCGAATCACATATATATATATATATATATATATATATGTATGTGATTTTGTGTACCCATGCCGCCCTGTAGCAGTATTTCTGACTGTAGGGTGGTCAGGAAGCGGTTACAGAAGAGGTTTGTATTACGGCGCTGCGTTACTTTTAACTGACAATTGCGCGGTCATGCAACACTGCACCCAAATTAAATTTACATCCTTTTTTTTCCTACAAATTGAGCTTTCTTTCGGTGGTATTTGATCGCCTGTGCGTTTTTAATTTTTTGCGCTATAAAAAAAAAAGGCTGACAATTTTGAGAAAAAAAAACAATATTTTGGACTTTTTGCTATAAAACATGTCCAGTAAAAAAAATTAAAAAATCTAATTTTGTCACAAATTTCATCCAAAATGCATTCTGCGACATGTCTTTGCTAAAAAAAAAAATCCCAATACGTGTAAATTAATTGGTTTACATGAAAGTTATAGCGTTTCCAAATGGCGGGAAAGATACTGGGATTTTTAATTTTTATTTATACTAATAATGGCGGTGATCAGTGACATATGGCGGCGATCAGCGACTTATGGCAGGACTGCGGGACTGCGGTGGACATTTTGACACTGGGGGGGAACTGACTTGGAGTCACTGACATCCCTAGTGACACCAATACAGTGATCAGTGAAAAAAAAAAACACTGACACTGTTCTAATGGCACTGGGGAGGAAGGGGTTAACATTTTTAGGGTTTACTGTGTGAGGGGAGTGTGTTTTACTAGGGGGCGGGGGTGTGTGCTGGATGGGGAGGCAGGCTGATCGAGGGAGAGAAACTCTTCTCTCCCTCTTCAGCTTGTCATGAGCTGTCAGGGAACTGACAGTGCAGGGCTGAGTGTAAACAATGCAGCCCTGTTCTCTGTCAGCGATCACCGCAAATCCGGGGAAACGGCCGGTAATCACCGGCCGTGACCCGGCGGCTGACACCCACTGCTGACACCCGCGGGACAGGTAGGGCGGGCGCGCGCGCCCCTACCTGTTTTGCAAACCTACGTTTTAAAACGTGGTTTTGCCCAGCCGTGCCGCCCTGCCACCGTTTTAATGCGGTGGCTGGGGGCAGTTTAAAGGGCTAACTGCTTAGTTAATAAACCCTGTGGCAATAGCTCTCAATCTGCATGTGGTAGACTGTGGTCCCATAAGCTGCAAAAATTTATGTGCAGAGTGAGGCTGAGAGTGTCATTGTTGTGAATCAGTGACAGTGCGTGGGGTTGACCAGTCATTTGTCACAAGTTTGTTTAACCACTTGCCTACCAGGCACTTATACCCCCTTCCTTACCAGGCCAATTTTCAGCTTTCAGTGCTGCCGCACTTTGATTGACAATTGCGCGGTCATGCAACATTGTACCCATATGAAATTTTGATCATTTTTTTCTCACAAATAGAGCTTTCTTTTGGTGGTATTTAATCGCCACTGGGCGCTTTACTTTTTGCGCTATAAATTAAAAAATGCAAAAAATTTGAAAAAAAAAAAAAAAAAGTTTCTTTGTTTCTATTATAAAATTTTTCAAACAGGTATTTTTTCTCCTTCACTGATGTGCGTTGATGAGGCAGCACTGATGGGCACTGATAGGCAGCACTGATGGGCACTGATAGGCAGCACTAAAGGGCACTGATAGGCAGTACTAATGAGGTGGCACGGATAGGCGGCACTGATAGGCAGCACTAATGAGGTGTCACGGATAGGCGGCACTAATATGCAGCACTGATAGGCGGCACTGATAGGTGACACTGATGATGGGTACTGATAGATGGCACTGACTGGCATCACTGCTGGGCACTGACTGGCACAACCGTTGGGCACTGACTGGTGGCACTGACTGGCAGTACTGCTGGGCTGCACTGGTGGGTGGCACTGGTGGGTGGCACAGGTGGGTGGGGTGGGCACAGGTGGGTGGCACTGGTGGGCACAGGTGGGTGGGCACAGGTGGGTGGCACTGCTGGGCACAGGTAGGTGGCACTTCTGGGCACAGGTGTGTGACACTGCAGAGTGGCACAGGTGGGTGCACTGCTGGGCACAGGTGGGTGCACTGCTGGGCACAGGTGGGCGGAGCTAGTGGGCGCACTGCTGGGCACAGGTGGGCGGAACTTGTGGGTGGCACTGCTGGGCACCGATCATCAGGGCACTGATCATCAGTGGCCCTGATGATCGGTGCCGATCCTCGCTCTGACAAATGCCGGTTCTCGGCAGTACTTTCCTCACGATCTGACAGCGTGAGGAAAGTGCAGCCGAGAACCGGCACTTGCATTTCCCTGTGATCAGCGTGTCATTGGACACCGCTGATCACGTGGTAAAAGGCCGGTATGCTCGGCCTTTTACCACATCTCGTGATCAGCTGTGTCCGTAAGACACAGCGATCACGGAGATCGCCGGGTGCGTGCCCCCTGGGGCGCGCAGGAGAGCGTGTTCTGGGGGGACGTCATATGACGTCCACTCAGAACTGGCCGGCCGCAGTTTAGCCGTCATTCGGCTATCTGCGGTCGGCAACTGGTTAAAGGGCAGTGGTCTAAACGTTTGTTACACAAGGTATTTATTAAGAGGCATGGCGAGTTTTTGAAGTTGTAATTTTTCATCACAATGTTTTGGAAAATTAAAACATTAAATAATTTACGTAATGTATGTTTTTACAGTATGTAAACATTTTTTTTTTTTTATATTTTAAATTTTTTTTTTTTTTTTTTACACTGTTGTTGCTTATAACAGTGATGATCACTGTTATGGGCAATAGTTTTAACTGTAATGGCTGGCTTTAATTTATGACAACTTGCTGCTTACTATTGTGATGCTGTGATTGGCTACAGCGAATCACATGGTACAGGGTGCCAGGTACCATGGGATAGCTGTGGGCCAATCACAGCATCACAATAGTGAGCAAGTTGTCATAAATGGAAGCCATTAATTACAGTTTTGCTTACATGTAATAATATGACTGCTATAATTGGTCATAGTGATCACAATATACCATGGCCACTGTACTGAGCACCATGATCCGCTGAGTCTCCAGTGCGCATATGTTAAGCGACATACCAGCACATCGCTGAGCCTGGCTGCGCCGTATCCTTCTGCATTGTTTTAATTATAACTGTAATGTATGCAGTGCCTACATTTTTTGCATACCTATACATCCTCAGATATGGTGCAACTATAATAATGACATTACAAAACAATATAATTTTGAAGCTGTAAAAAATTACGTCCTTTATGGCAGCAGATTACTGAGAAATCAGCCTGTATCACACGTTTCGCCCTTACTTGTACAAATGTGACTCTTTGTTCAAATCCCTGCTGTCCCTCATCTTTGTGAGAGATAATTGCACCCTGTTTTGTGTAGCCCAATGAGTTATCGCCTTGAATTGGTGCTCCCTGGAAGCACTTTGGGCCCAGGTTCTGGCCAGGATGGAGACCATTAAAATGATGGACTGTAAATCACACTATTTACAATACCATATCAATTTTTCACAATAAATGGTATTTTTGTAATGTTTATTGATACTTTCAATTTATTGTACACTTTTGTATGTTTTTGGATACTCCTGTATGTATCAAGAACTCTAGAGTTTTGCTAGCACTGTAGTCTTCATGATACCGAACATCTAGTACTTTTCTCATGATAATTGGCTAACTTCAGGCACATTTGCAGTTTTGATTTTTGTGTTCCTTTTTGTACTTTATTGGCATCATAAGAGTTCACTTTTTTATCTTTATTGCACATTTTGAATAATGTACAATTATTTTCTTAATTCTTCATATCTCATTGTATATGATGTACAGCGGGTAAAATAAGTATTGAACACGTCACCATTTTTCTAGGTAAAAATATTTCTAAAGGTGCTATTGACATGAAGTTCTCACCACATATCGATAACAACCCATGCAATCCATACATACAAAGAAACCAAAACAAATAAGTTCAGAAATTAAGTTATGTGTATCAAAATGGAATGACACAGGAAAAAGTATTGAACACATGAAGAAAGGGAGGTGCAAAAAGTCATGGAAAGCCAAGACAACAGCTGAAATCTATCAGTAAATAGAAAGCTATCCTATCCCTTGTCAGTGCAAATATCTGCTGGTTCAGTCTCAACTATGGCCTTTAAAAAGGTGTCTCATTACCAAGGTGTCACACAAGAAACATCTCATGATGGGTAAAAACAAATAGCTCTCTCAAAACCTTTGCAACCTTATTGTTGCAAAACATACTGATGGCATTGGTTACAGAAGGATTTCTAAACTTCTGAATGTTCCAACGAGCACTGTTGGGGGCCATAATCTTGAAGTGATAAGAACATAATTTCACTATAAACTGGCCATGATCAGGTGCACCTCGCCAGATTTTTGACAGAGGAGTGAAAAGAATTATCAGAAGAGTTGTTCAAGAACCAAGGACCCCTTGTGAAGAGCTTCAGAAAGACCTGGAATTAGCAGGTACAATAGTTTCAAAGCAAAAAATAAGTAATGCACTCATAAATAATAAATTAAAAAAATGCTGCGCTGCTAATAGAGTGCAAGGTGAAATAAATCAAAAGTGTACTGAAGAAAAGTGAAGCTTATCTGAATAATTAACAAAGCATAGAAATAAAGTGTCCATGAAAACAAGTCCATAAATCTGAAATCATCAGTAGTGATTCAATAATGCAATTCTTCACAGGTTTTTATGCTTCTTCATGTGCTAATACACCAACGCCATCAGATGAAGTGCTATAAAACATACTGATGGTGTCACCTCAGTGCTCACAGAACTCTCACCTCAGAGCAATTAAAATGTGCTTTGTAATACTAAGTAGGCAAATAGTTCTTCACTTTCCCGATCATCAATCATATGAGGGTGGTCAGACACCTTTAAAGCTTTCAATAAACCATCAAGCCAGAAATAGGGAGCGGTCCCTTTAAGGAAGTTGGAGGTCAAAGATTTCTATCCTTAGTAGAGGAAACAAAGGACACTCCGATGGTGCAGTATGTACTGACAAATGTATTTTTTAAAAAAGGTAATGCACTGACATGTAAAAAACTAATAGAATGCCATAAGACCAGATAAAAAACCGAATCCAAGCTGCATTTCCATACAGCTTCAATCTTGATTCGTGTCTGCCCAAGGCCACGCCCTTACGGGTTGCGTCCCTCTGATGAAGTCCCGTGGCGTGATGCAAGGCAAGAAAAGCTTGGTCGTGTGGTGGAGGCTGAACATTAGCCCTTTACTGTACAGTCATATAGATACTCAACTCCTTGGTAGTGCTGAGCGCCACTCTCTGGTGTCCCCATTCTCTTTTTGCATTTCATCTGTCCTCTTGGTGGTCTTGAAGATTGTCAAGCAAGCATTTCTGCTCTGATTTGGTTCATTCCGGGGAACACACTTCACCAATAAAGGCTCATTTGACTCTTAAGCCACACAAGTTAAAAGTCCATCATATCTGGTAAGTGTGGATTGTACCAGAAGGTGATCAGGGATGGTGTGGGGATATTGTTTAAGGAACACATTTGGTTTTTTGACACTGTTTCTTTGACAGGAACACTGTATCACTGTTTATTTGGGACAGTGGACTTTTTATTATTTTTTTATTATCTCATCACTGTTGATATAATCACTATTGTTTGTTTCATTTTTGCGCTGTAATATTATTTTTAATATTTGAAGACTGTTTTTTGGGTTGACTTAGAGTGCACTCATGCTGGGTGCAGTTGAACTTCCCGGACACAAATTACATCATCACCCAGCCAAATGTTCCAAAGTGATCCCTGCTTTTGTGTTGTCATTTATGAAGAGTTCTATGCTCAGGCATAGTTTGCACTCACAATGAAGTGAACCATAGCACACCACAAGTGCCCAGGACCACTTCTTCCAAATGGTCCCAGGCAAGGAACACAATCATTCCCAAGCATGATGTGGAGCACTCACACTACACAAACTGGGGCCAAGGGGGTGAACCATTCCTAGGCTCAATTAAAACTGCCAGCCTGAGTGCACCCTTATTTTAGCTCCATGTGTTTTTTTACTTAATCAAAACAAAGGTGTGCCAACTCCTACAATTCATTTAGCTTTAGAGAGCAGCAGAAAAGTATTTCTCTACCTGCTTGCTACAAATAAGGACCTTTGCTCTCTGCTTTTAAGCAGTGGTATCACTACAGAACACAAAAGCATCCCTGAGTGGATGCAGGCACTGTTTGGCAAAATAACATACAGTATGTCCTGTTTCAGAAATATTGCAAGGGTACCTGGCTGCAGACTGGAGCTCCACTCTAGACAGGAAATGCTGGGATTTGTAGTTCTGTACACAGGCATAGTTTTTTTATATCACAAAAATAGAGCAGAAACAGGCCACCTAGAATGACACGAATAGCTGGTGTCATAATCATATCTCTTACTCACTTAGTATATAAGTGTGGATCCATAAACCCAGAAAATGCATACTGAACAATATGGTAGTGTGACAAGAGCACCCCTACCTGAAAAAAGAAGGTTACTAAGAGATCCACGCGGAGTAATATGGATTCAAAAAATTACAGGCAATACTTTATTTGATCACATAGATCATAAGGAGGTTAAACATGAGCACGGTGAACATGTCAAGCAAATAAAATCATTTTAAAAGCACTTAGCGTCTTCATATCAGGGTCATTTAGGCAAGTAGAGTACCATATAAGGCAATATATGGTAATGGTGAGGTTTTGATCCTAGGTTTCCATGAATTTCCAACTCGTATTAGAGTGAACCATAGATTCAGCGAATATGTTCCCAATATAAGTCAGGATGTGTAGAGTAGCCTCCTGATGTATGGAAGCTGGAACACAAAAATACACAAAAAATGTATGAAAGTATAGGAGCTGAATCACATCCAGGCCTCACCAAACCTCCCTCTACAGTAATTAGTGGACACCTTCATTACCTTCTTAGTTGTGAAACTGTCATACCCGCTTCTCAAATGTAGGGACTTCCTAGATAGCCACCCCAAGTGAAACACAGTCCACAGTACCAAATGATTCTGGGGATATATATAAAAAATTATTATAAAGAACACAGGCATCAAGTGAAACCCTGAAAGCAAAAAACAAAGTATGGGTATATTACCATCAATAGGGATCAAGAAGACTCCCGTCGACTTGAAATAGGATCAGGTCCTTGATGCTTGTTCAAAGGTGCATATGGGGGTGGGGAGCCAGGTAGTCACAGTACGTAGATTCCAAACACATATATTGTGTATATAGCAGGCCGTGAATACCTGAGTCTATATACCCACTGAAGGGGTTTCCAAAAATTACTCAATCTAAGAAAATTGAAGCGGTTTGACTAGGATATGGCTTTGT